AGACATGGCACGGAAATAATATGTCTTTGATAGAAAATAAATATAAAAAGAATTATAGGTTCAAATATTACAAAACACAAGTAGAAAGATAATTATTTGTTGTTGTTAGAAGTGCCATAAAGATATATACATAATTACTAACATAAGTAAAAATGGAAAAAAAATTAAACAAGTCAAATCACACTCGCTATACTTCCAATTTTCTTTTTCCCCTTATTTGTTACTTTTCTCAAACATTATCGGTTAATACTATCTTCCCCCGTCCAATTTTCACCTTCTTTTTCATTCTCTCTTTTGTTTTCGTCTTTTTCATTAAACATGAATACGAGCATGCCACGAGCACGAATAGGCATGAGACGATTCGAAACGTGCCCGAGCCTGGGCCGGGCCTAGCAAAGTTAACAAATGGGCTTGCATGGCACGACACGACACGAAAACTGACGGGCCGTGCCAAGCACGACACGAAATAAATGGTCCCGAAGCGTGCCCGTGCCGTGCCGGCCCAAGCACAGCCCAACGCCCATGTACAGTATCAGCAGGATGTCGCATTACCCCATCATACTTCTACCTTCCTTATGCAACTTCATCTCAGACGTTGTTTTACTTTACATAAACAACCTCTGCAACCTAGACTTTAGGAGAAAATGTCGTAATACCTCATGTGGTTTTCCCTTACCCTTACTATCGAACGATGCATATCTAGGCAATTTACAAACTGGGCAAAATGTTGAATCTACATGAGGACCCTAGTATAATGTGCTGCTCTTCTCGCAGACATCGTATTTCTCATAACCAAGACCTAATTCAGAAATATAATTCCGCACGCTACTGAACATCTCGGGAAAATTAACCTTGCCGTCAGAAGTTAATATCCTCAAAATGCCAAGTCATCAAATGGCTTATTAGTCCACATGTGAGTACTTTTAAGATGACGCAGTTTCACTACTTACAGTTTGGGTTCAATTTTTCCTTAGCCTCTTCCAGTAAATGATAGAAGGTATCAACATCTTGGTTAGGCTATTCTTCAAACTCTTATGTGTGAATCCCGAAATCTTCTTCTTAGCCTCCCATGCCGTACAAGTCATGTACCAATCCTTCCATATTATCAAGAGTATCTTCAAGCATATGATCCTCATTAAGTTCTTGGCTAGTGGTTGACCATGGAGCATTATCGGTACCTTTTTCATGGAAGTTCCAAGTTATATATTTCTCCAAAATCTCATTTTTCATCAAATGAATCGAGAATTCATTTTATTGTAAAATAAATTATCGTGTAGAATTCATTATCAAATGAAATCTTGTGTATGGTATGTCATATTCAAATCTTTAAAAATAAAATGAATTGCCGTGTAGAAATCATTGTCAAATGAATTCATGTGTTTGGTATGGCATATGTATAAGTAACTTAGTTAATTAAAGAAGATAAGTATATCATTCTATTACAATTACTAAATACTTGTGGAATTCATTTGAAAATTCTATCTCGATTCCTCGGAATTGCTATAAGCCTATAACTAGTTCCAATTTCATAAAATTCAAAATTTAGAATTAAAAATGAATCCTTTTAAATACCAAACACAAAAATGTTTCATTTCAAAATAAATTTCTCATTACTTATGGAAATCATTTGTACCAAATGGTATGTAACTAAAGATGGTTTGTGCTAACATATATATACTTTCATTCTCTAAGTAACTATTTTAACCTAACTAATTAAATCTAGTTTCTCGCAAGATATAGTTGCGTAATTAATGGTGCGTACCGCTAAGTAAAGCAAGCTTTATAGGTGGTTTGGAGAACGGGATTTAGGGCGTGGATTCATTGAATCCGTAGATTTTGTAAAAAATTATGTTTTTTTGTTGCTTTTTGTATTGTGGATTTTAGCTTTAGAAATTTTTAATCTCTAAAATCTATGGATATCAAATCTCTCATAATCAGATAGATTTTATATCTTGATTCACGAGATTTTTTTCCTCTCACCTTTTTTCTTTCTTTTATTTATTTATCATATTAAATATATTTACTAACAAAGTTTTTAATATTTCTTGAACTCCTTTAATTTTTTTATTAATTTATTATGCGGAGACAATACAGTGTAATTGTCCCTAAGATGACTTAGAAAACTATTTCCTAAGACAACATAAAAAGGTCGTCCCCTATTTTGGTCCCCAAATCTCTTTATTTTTGTAGTGAGAAGAGGGAGTTTTGGTGCCTATTGATTTATAGGAAAAGAAAAGGATGGGAAATTTTGATTTTTTTATTTATGGAAAGAAAAATAGAGAAGAAAATGTGTTTTTTCTTCTTTGTTTTTAGAGTGGTGTTTTGTTTGGTTTGCTAATAGTGTCTATTGGTTGCAAATGTTGATAGCGTAATTAATATTAGCTATTGCACTTTACCAATTATGATTAATAACATAACAAGTTTGCATATCATACAAATTGATTCAACATTTTGACTAGTTTTTTTATTAAGTATATATATATATATATATATATATATATATGTGAGGTAGAAATAAGTTGGTTAAAAATTGTGAAAAATATTTTAAATTAGTGTAATAAAATGTGTAAGTTGGTAGTATGAGTATGGACTAAGTAACTTGATGCGCTGTCCCGAACAACTCGCAACACGATCCGCCCCCAACCTGCCCGACACGAAACCCGATGAACCCGCAACCCGATTAGTCTGCAACCCGATTGAACCCGAACTGATAAACTCGCAACCCGACGAACCCGAAAGCTGACTAACCCACAACAGATTGAACCCACCTGAACCCGCCCGATTGACACCTATAGACGAGACTGTGCTTCGAGAACCAGTCTGCGGCTCTATTCCCTTCTCGGTATGTATGGACTATCCTAACAAGCTAGTCTTGAGCAATCTTCTTCCGAATTGAGTTAAGAAGAGAAACATAGGGGTGCATAGATCCCGATGATTGTTAATAAGTTGGATGGCCAACTGAGAGTCGGACTCCACCACCAGGTTCCTACATCCATGCATTCCAATATTCAGTTTCTACATATTCACAACACTAAGATAAAAAAATAATCATAAATCACCAATTATTTGATTTTGAATACTTGATGAAATAGTACATTTGAACCAACTACCACTGATGTCGCAAATAATAATTATACTTCTAAATAATACATAAAATATTTCAAACATCACAAATATTAAAATTAAATTAATTATTATAAAGAGTAAAATATACTTCTGTATTTTATCTAAACTAAACGGCACAAAAAATTTAATATTAATTTTTGAATCAATGTTACTTGATTTCTGATTTTAGAACTAATCTCTCTCTATAAAATATAAATAAATTAAGATAAAATATGAATATAGAAGCACCATCACCAAATATATTTCTAGAGTTTAATCAAAGAAATAAAAATAAATACAATATAACCTAGTTGGTCATAATGCTCTTTCCTCTTTTATTAATTGACCAAGGTTTGGACTCCAATGATAATATTTTTCATATATAAAGATGATTTAGGTGGAATGACAAAAATGACCTTCCTAAAATTATTCTCAGTCCACTAAGTTTGAAATCGGACAATTCCAACAATGTTTTGTCTTTATATATTTTCTAGATGAAAGTGCATGTAGTTTTGAAGAATAGGATTTGTTTGCATAAAAATTTATTTTTTGAATTAAAATATAAAATCATATTGTGGAAAAAATCAAAGATTGTAAAATTGCACGCGAAGTTGTATCAAAAAACTAAGTGGTAAAATATTTAATGCTGAAACCCTCTAGCGAAAGCCTCTCAAAAGTGATTCAACGCGTGGTTTAATAATAATTTAACCAATTCATACCACCAAATTTCCAAACCAAATTAGATCCGGTAGAAAATTTTCTAGTCGGACCATCGGTACGGTATGAATATTCCTTAAAAATCTATACATACATTATTTTGTGACAAAAAATGTACTAAATACTGCTAGAATTACATGAATGAATTACAAAATTAAATTGTAGCGTGTGTTTGAAAGACAAAGTTCATTCCGCATCATAAAGAAGAAGCAAAGGAGGAATATAACATCAAAAGGAAAAAAAGGGCTAACAAATTGGAACGCAACGTTTGATTTCAAGTGAGTGAAATGACTAATAAGTCACCCTACCGAGAAATGCTCTTAGAGCATCAAAATTCAAATAGAGAAACTTTTGGGTGCGTACCAATAATAATCAAATTTGGAGAAATATCACTAATAGCCACTTTCGTTTAATTCTTTAACGGTGTTATCATTAAGTGTGACTGACAAACGAAAATGCTTACGTGACGAGCCCTTATTTCCCTTTTACTCTTTAATTTCCCTTTTACTCTTTAATTGCCCACGCGGATAATGATTAATTAAAAAAAACTGACCAAAAATAAAAGAAACCCTCAAATTGAAAATGAAGTACATGACTTACCACATCAGCCACATAAAAACCTAAACTAACAAAAAAAAAAAAACAAAAATCCCCAAAAATTTCCATCTCTAGCAGCACATCCCAAACCCAAACCCTTTCCTGTCCACTAGTTCTCGGACTGACCGCCATATGCATCCTCATCCACCTGCCTAGTGACCATTCCCTCTGTTGCTGGCAAGATCACCATCTTCTTTTTCTTCTCTACAAATTGAATTAAAAAAAACCAAAACTGAAGATCTTCCCCCTTCATCTTCTTCCTCTCGCCAAGAAACAGGGGAAATCATTTTCTTCTATCCATCCACTGATCAAAAGTAGAGACAAGCTCATAGGATCCATATACTCACTCAATTCCACATCCATCGACAGAAAAATTTCTCAATCCCAAATTCACCAACCTATTGAATTGACAGTGTCGGAAATTAAAAATGTTTGCTTTGACGCTCGGGGGAACTTCAATTAGAGGTTGATGGATGGCACCCGCTACAGCGAGATAGCGATGGGAGGGTTCAGCGGCGACATAGCTTGCGGAAGAACGGGAATCATGCCTGCGGGCAGGTTTACGGGTACAGGAAGTCGCTATGGGTAGAGCAACCATAGGGGTGGTGGAAGAAGAGTGGTTCGACCGGCAGGAGAGTGGAGTGTGTGAGGAAGGTGAGGACGATAGGAGAAGAGAACGGGAGGCGATTTACAGGGGAGGCGGTGGTGGAGATGAAGGGTCAATTGATGAAGAATCCGGTGGATGTGGATTTGATGGGCCGGGTTGGGCCGCTTCCTTGGTTTGCGACGTTTCCGGATGTTGGTGGGAATATCTTGGACTTATATACCCTTGTAGTAGAATCTGAAAATTTTTGACTCGAGGAAGCGGAAGCGGAAGCCTCCGTGGGAGGAAGGCGATTGGGGGTGGATTGGCGCAGTAGAGAAACGGATTGTGGAAATGGCTAGAAACCGTCGGCAGGGTTTCAAGAAGAGGAGAAGACGAAGCTAGATTTGGATTCTGGAAATAGCTATAAGTCGCCGACTGCATCTGGTTCGATGAAAAAGAAGATCCTTGTGCCAACAGAGTACCACCCCACGGTAGAGAGGCTCAGAGGCTAGAGGAAGCAAAATCGGGGGATTTGGGGAAGAGGATTTGCGGGAATGGGGAAGAGTAATCACCGCTTTGATCGGAAAAGGGTAGAGGATTCGTGGGAATGGTAAAGTTGGGGAAGAACCCTAAAATTGAAATTGAGGAAAAGTTGGGGAAGATGGTCGTGCGAAGGAGATGGGGTACTCGAGGGTATTTTTTTTTTCTTTATGATCTGTAAATATTAAATAATTGAAATATCTGTCGTGTCACTATTTACTTATTTGTTGCTGACATGTCCGTTGAGTTGGCGCCCTAGCTACAATTATGTGAATGCTTGTATGGATTGAATGATTTGTGTGCCGTTTTGTTTAATGTGAATGTGGAGGTATTATTCATGAATGATTGTGTTGTGTGAAAACCTATCAATCTAATTGCCATTCTAACCTAGGTAGAGACAAAACCCCCTTATTTTCTTTGAAAGAGGCTTGAATGCTGGGTTTTCTTAGGCAATTTATTGTCTCCTATCTAGGTTAATGCAGGGCAAACCTCTTATTTCGTATTATCACTTAGGGCTTTGGTTGTGGGTGGTCGTGTGAACTCTGATTCGAGGGTGAAGTATAACCAATGCTTAGTCAATAGGTCGAGAGAGTCACGTCGGTGTCTTGGATCGCATCCCTTTCCCTCGACCTTGGGACTAAGAAAGTGGCTCTTGGCTACTTGTTACACTTCTCTACGGTTTACAACCCCCTCATCACACATGACCATTCGATCCAACTAGTCGTAATTGCTACCTAGGGGGAGCAACACCCGGGTGAAGCCTTCTCAATTAGTGTCAAATCCATTTTCCTTTGCAAACACTTTAGCTTTAGATTTGTTGTTTTCACCAAAAATCAACCGCTAGATAATGTTTCAAACAATCGAAGTAGGGGTACATGAACTGGCTCGGGTCGATATTTAAACATACTTGCCCTGCATTGCACCCAATTAAGGTTTATACTTGGGCCTTAATTGGGATGTTGAATGTGGTGCATTTGGGTTGAGTCAAGTTTTTGGCGCCGTTGTCGGGGAGCCAATGGTTCATTATTTTGAAAAGATTGTTTGGTGTTAATCTAGCTTTTAATTTTTGTTTTTGTGTGTGCAAATCTCGTTTGTGTGTGTGTAAAGAGTTCAAGTGTTAGATTTGGGTATCACCGTGCCAGGTCTATGTGATTGTGTGTTTTGGGATGTGATGTGATTGAATTAGGGGAACGATTGAGTGGATCATGTCAATTTTTTTTTTGAAAATGCCCTGTTTTCACTCTGTTCACGGTTTTTGCTTTCAGTTCACGGTCTTAGTGAATGTGAACTGGTCCATCTGTCTGTGAACGAGGGCGCTTCCATCTGGTTTCAAAACTCATCGTTTTACCTAGTTCACGGGATGAGAGTGTTCTTAGGCACCGTGAACTGGCTCCTCTGTCCGTGAACTGCGGGATCTACCTATAAAAGGGGCGGGAACCCCTCATTTTTACTTCACTACCGCCCCTTTTGAGCAAGAGGAAGATGAAACATTGAGGGATGCTTGAGAAAGGTAATTCGATTAATTCCTCTAATGCCCAGACCATGGATTCGAGGAGAAATTTCAGATTGAGACTTTCTATGGCGGTCTCCACCAAGACGACAAGATCCCCATTAACTCCTTGTGTCAAGGGAAATTGATGAATATGACTCCAACTCAAGTGACTGAGTTGCTTGAAGACATGGAAAGTAAAGGGTATGATTGGGGCTTGACGAGTGGTGGAAAGAGAAGCACCTTAAGGGGAGTGCAAAGTGTAGGAGCAAGTCCCCTGCCAGAAGCCAAGATTGATCGTTTGATTGAGGCACTCTTAGAGGACAAGAAGCATGGGAAGAGGCCGGTAATGGCGTGTGATTGGTGTTCAAGTACCAACCACGAGATTTCGGATTGTTAGATGATGAAGGAATCGAGCACCGTCGAGGAGCAAGTGAGTTTCATTGCCAATGCTAGGGGGAACAACCTTTATAGCAACACTTATAACCCAGGGTGGTGAAATCATCCGAATTTCTCATGGTCTTCTCCGACCAATCAAAGACCCCACGGTTTCCATGGACCAACAGGAGATTATCAACCAAGGCCTACTTTCATTCAACAAAGGCCACATTTCCAAGGCTCTAACTTCCAACAACCGTTTCAAACTCAAGGAGGCCAAGGGTTCCAACGACCTGATAAGTTTGCAAAACTTGAAGACCTTGTGACCACCTTTGTGAGCACGAGCACTCAAAAGTTCGAGAAGATTGAGCAATTTATGGATGTGGCAACAACAAAGTTTACCTCGGTTGAGGCGGGGCTAAGGAGCCATCAAGAAAGCCTTCAAAACTTGGAGGTGCAAATTGGAAATCTTGCGGGGATCCTCACTGAGAGGCCAAGGGGATCCCTAACCTCTCAAACCATTGTCAACCCCAAAGACCAAAATGCCAGGTGCAATGCTATTCTTTTGAGAAGTGGGAAGGTTACCCCAGAGGTTGTTTCAAAGAAAGTGGATGAAGAAGAGAGGACCCCTCCAACGGTTAATGATCCCAAAAAATGGAGGAAATAGAAGAAGAGCCTAAGAAGGCATCACCAATGCCACCATAAGTGACTGAGTACAAGCCTCCTCTTCTTTTCCCCACAAGGATGCACAAGGGCTGATTGGAGCCGGAGTGTGGAGAATTCATGGAGATGCTCAGGAAACTCCGCATCACCCTTCCATTCTTGGAGGCCATGGTGCACATGCAGAGGTACGCCAAATACCTCAAGGGGCTTCTTGCCATGAAGCACAAATATGAAGACCTCGCCAATGTCACCTTGGGCAAGGAGTGCTCCGCCTTTATCCTCAACAAGTTGTCTAAAGAGCAACCGGATCCCGGTAGTTTCACTATACCCCTTTGCATCGGAAATCATCATATAGAAAACTCCTTGGTGTACTTAGGAGCAAGCATTACTGTGATGCCTTACAAGCTTTTTAAGAAGTTGCATTTGGGTCAATTGAAGCCCACTAGGCTTAGTGTCACATTGGCCAATCGCTCTATTATTAGTCCTAGGGGTATTGCGGAGGACATCCTAGTGAGAGTGGGCAATTTATTTATCCGACGGATTTTGTTATCCTCGATATCAGTGAAGATGTGGATATGCCACTCATACTAGGACGCCGCTTCCTTGCCACCACCAAGGCCTTAATCGATGCTAATAAGGGAACTTTGGTGTTGAGAGATGGGGAGGAGCAACTTACTCTTTCAATTGATCCTAAGGTTAAGAATTATGTTGTGAAAGCATTGGATTTGAGTGGTATGAATGGAAGTGGGGGTGAGCCTCTCAAGGCAAACCCCACTAATGTGTGTGTTCCATTTGATGATGAGGTGCAGGTAACCAAGGCGGGTGCTTAGCCCAGAGGGAAGAAGAAGAGAGTGTGGAGGGATAGGCTTCATCAAGCCTCCTCCGAGCCAAAAAATAAGGGTAAGGCGAAAGTGTCGGGCCTAGAGGGCCACCCTAAGGAGCTAAAGGAAGGAGGTGTCAAGCCTTGCCCCGAGACCGTGGTGGATCCACTCTCGGTGGATTCATTCACTCAAGCATGATAGATCCGCAACGTCAAGCTAGAGACGTCAAACTACCGCTTGTTGGGAGGCAACCGAACGACAGTTTGTTTTCTTTACCTTATTTTTCTCTTTTTTGTGTGTGTGATGAGTTCACCGTGCCAAATCTCTGTGGTTTTGTGTTTGGGATATGGTGTGATCGAATTAGGGGCACATGTGATTACATTGAGTCAAAGATTTTTGGGAGTGCCCTGTTTTTCACTCAGTTCACGGTCTTAATGACCTTAAAGTGGTGCCTCCGTCTGTGAACTGAGGGTGCTCCCCCTATTTTCAAAACTCATCGTTTAACCCCAGTTCATGGTCAGCGAGTTATGTTCACAGTATTAGTGACCGTGAACTGACATATCCATCCATGAAATGAGGGTTCTGCCTATAAAAGGGGCGTGAACGACTCAGTTCACTTCACGACCACCCCTTTTCGCCAAAAATTTTCAAAAACCCAAAAAAAATTGCAGACCCACTCTACCCCCATCTCGGCGCACCCTCGCCTGAAGTTTGGGGTGATTTGGGCGCAGTTATTTTCCAGAGAGCATCCAGCGAGGTTCCCACGAGGCTCCGGTGACCCGTCTTCGACCAGTTTTAAGTGCATTATTTGGCTTACCTCGCCCTCCCCTCACTTCCACCTCGAACCTACTTGAGTCTCCAGGTTTGTTTTCAACTTTTTCCTTCTCATTTGTTGGAGAATCAGATTAGGGTTTGAAGTGAGGTTAATTTTTGTGAATTGATGTTTGAATGTAGAAATTAGGGTGAGGGACTAGCCGACTAGTATGAATGAATGATGTTTGATGATACATGAGCTAAATTGAGCCTTGGTGGGCATAAATTTGGGTACAATTTGTGGTTGAATGTGAAAATTGCCCACCAAGTGCAAAAATATGAATGAATGTGAATCGATGAGTGTTGATTTATGGTTGAAGCCACTGGGGCATGATTTACGTTTGATTTTGTGTGTTGATAAGCTGTGAACCACCGAGAACCATGCCTAGGTGAGCTTTGTGTGCATTTAAGCTTCATTGTCCAAAAGTCGGTCTTGTGAAAAGCCTTCAAGGCGCATGACCATAGTGGAAGCCTAAGTGTGGGGAAATTCTTTTCTCCCCTTGATGTGAAACTGTAAATTATTTCCATGTATGTTGTGTGTTTGGATGCTTTGCA